AGCCAAGGGATGAGACAAAACAGAGGATTTGTTTGCCCCAGCACTTACAGGCTCATCCTTTCTCTCTGGGGGCTGTAAACCTACAGGACCAGGAGACTCAATAATGCCTTTAAGAGGCAACTTCTGTTGGTCACCACTTATTTGCTTTGCCAATAACTTTATCTGTTCCTGCATGTGCTGTAGCTGTCTGTCCAGTTCAAGCTGCTTCTCCTGGACAGCATTGTCCCATCTCACAGAACCAGCAGACTCCTGTACAGTCTCTGAGTCTGAAGTCTTAGAGACTGCATTGCTGGAGACTAGCTTTGCCTCTAAACCTTTCTCTAATATTTCAACACGTTTCTGGAGACTTTCTAATTTTACCAGCATTTTACTAGCCTTTGCTTCATGGTTACAGTTGCACTTGGCTTTCACTTCTGAAGCAGGTTTTCTCAGTTTTATATTACTTATTTTACTTACGTGTCTTGTCATACTCACCTGAGTCTGGGGTCTCTCCTCCAGGGGTCCCTCCTCAGACCCCTCAAGCCCCACGCTGGGCGCCATTTGTCAAATGCCCCCCAAGCCCACCAGACTTGGGTCAACAAAAAGGACACTCAGGCATACATCTGAAGTTATGCGAGGAATTTATTAAAGGGACAGCAGGTACAGAGAGGAGAGCACTCTTTAGAAGGAAGAATCTACTGAGGGGTCCCACAGGTCCTTTTTATCCAGCCCGGAGTTTGGGTCACCTAGGTGAATCTTCCCAACAGAAACAAAAGGGTTACTATAGAGACAGCACGAAGGCTGAACTGAAACTTTCTAGAAGTCCTGATTTATCATCTAGGTACAGCCTGTCAGCTCTGACCGCTGAAGCAGAGAGCTCAGAAGCTCTTAAAGTGACACTCTCCTAATTTCCAAGGCTTATGGCAAGCATGGCTCCCGACATATCCCCCTTTCTTTTTATATTTTTTTAAAGATGAAGTACATGCCAAGACTTGGGATGGAACGAACGTGCCTGTCTTAGGTTGTCCTCTACCAGTGTGAAAGCCATTGGGCACGGCCGGTGTCCCGCTTTCCTCTTAGAGGATCTTACCTGCCTCTGGCTAACTGGCCTCCTGAAAGCTCCCAGTGAATTGGCCACGGCCTTGGGGAAGAAACGGGAAATGCCACTGTGGCACAGTGTCACTGAGAGAGAAATATGACTGCAGACCAGAGTCTGGTCCTGAATCGTGGCCAAATTGTGTGTACTTTGAATTTTGAATTTAGTGATATTGGTGTTACCTACCCCCAACCTGTGTTCTGTGCTGAGGTTAGGCAGAGCCTAAGTCACCCCTCCAAGCAAACAAAAGAACCATAAGGGGAAAAACAATGATTAGAACAACGATGTACAAAGCATGTGGAACAATTAATGAATCACGGAGAGAATCACAGCATCACAGGCAAAGTGGAGAGTGGAGAACGGTGGGTGCCAGGTGGTGGAAATAGTCCATAGGAAATGAGAACAGAGTCCAAAAAACCAGTCCAAAAAAATTGGGAGCACAGGATGAGATGATGGATGGTGCAGCGATGACACAGGTGGCATAGAGTCCGGAGATGTCACAAAGTGAACGAGGCGTTTAGGTACCCAACATGTACTGTTAGCATCCTGCGGAAAAAACACAAACATGTCCTCTCCCCCAAATGAGGACAAGGGAGGATGTCACACCAGTGGCAGTTGCAGTAGCAGCCAAGGTAAGAAGACCCAAAATAGCAGCAATTATTAGACCAATTTTGTATTTACCACACTGCAGCAACTTTTTGAAAAATTTTAGAATCAATCCTTGAGCAGGACTGCTTTTATTGGACTGATGTATTATCATAGGAATTCATGAAGAATTTTGTTGTGTCAAGATCATAATAGAGTCAAGCACAGGATTAAAGGCTATAGAGTTGTTAAGACAAGTGTATAAACAACAATATTGGCAAGTCAAGTTTATGTCCTGAATGACCATATGTCTAATTTGGGGAGAGATGGAACAGCTGGAGTCCTTTATGTAGGCCAAGTGGAATCTATTGACTGAGCAGAGAAACATAACACATCTGGAGGGCTACAATTGTACCTACCTGTCGGAACAACTTAATGTTTAGAGGATAGCAAGGAGGAACTCCAGAGCACAGAATTTTAGTAGTGATGAAGTAAGTACAATATTAATCTTGACATTATTGTTAGGAAAATCGGACTGACCAATACCATAAGAAGGGAACAAAACATGTATAGGAACAGTAGGGACTACAATAGTAGGCTCTGTGTACATGTAAGGATATAAGAGGGAAAAAGTAGGTACATGACACATATATAGAGGTAAGATGCATATAACAGGTGGGTGTGCAGGTTATGGTCATAGATGACAGCAAGATCAGTGGACCTGGAAATAGAACAATAAGGCCTATAAACAGGTCAAGCATAAAAGGAACTCTATATAACACAGGAGATTTAGCCAAGGCAACAGAAAACAGACGAAACCAAGGAAAATGTAACTCAATAATGTGGCAACACTGTAGGAAGGGAAAGCATTAACATTAACAGAGAAGTTTTTGTAAGCAAAAGAGTGACCTTAGCAACACACTTTAAGTAATTAAGGTAACATTAACTACACCCCATGATATCGTTGTTATGGAGAGAATATCTAAAAGGGGGTTCCCACAACATAATAGAGGTTTTTAAGGTACTGGGAAACAAACAGGACAAAAACAGCTTAATACAAAGAAATGACTTGAAGTTAACCTTAAATGTAATCTATGTTATGTATCAAACATGCCTGTAGAGACTGTGATTGTATACACTGAAATGAGCGAGAGATACACCCAGGACCATTATCCGTTGATAAACTTTCGGGAGTTTTTAGTGCTGAAAAGCAACGAATGCAGTGAGTGAGGAATCGTGTAGGATTCACACCAGTAAGAGCAGAGGCAAAGAGAAAACCAGAAAAGATATGTATAGTAACAGGAATACAGCATAACCGTCCACATTTAGGAACATCCCTCTGTCATACTTGATAGGAATAAGCCCATGAAGCTGAAACAGAATATCTCCAATACCCAGATCATTACTAGGCTCCAGGACTGACATGAAGCCTGACACATTTTCTCCCACAACAGTTGTCTGCCGCACAACCTTTTATAATGGAGACATGGAAGATGCAGTACAAGTTACTAACAGATTATATACAGCACCCCAAGCAACTTCTCCTGGGACACCATATTGTAGCAGCATACCTACTCTGATAAGCTTTGAGTACCAGGCATAAAGATGAAGGAGAGGGG